CTTTTTGACTTTCTGGTTACAAAATTGGCGTTATTCTGAATCGTCGCAAATTGGACCGGCGCAAATTGAGGGCTACCTGTATAATTTATGTCTCTATATGTCATATCTTTACATTATTTATTTGTGGTTTGTTTAATAACAGTCAGTTACTTGGGGTATATAGTATCAAATTATAGTATGATTAATGAATAATGAAATGGAAGGGGCATAAAAGGAAGTGGATTTGGCCTAAGGTACTGTCCCATCATTTTCCTGGAGGAACTGAGGAAAATTATGAGAAATCTCAGTCAGGATAGTTAGTCTGTGGGCCAAGATTTGAAGCTGAGGCCTTCTGAATATGAAGCAGGAGTGCTAACCACTCGGTCACAATGTTTGGTATTAATTTTACAGTTGATCAGGTTTGTCCCAGTAGAAACTATTACTGTTTACAGTAAAGTAGTACCTGTATTAATCAGTTTTGTCAACATCAGAATCTTATTCTGTTCAAAGTAGCACCTGTATTTCTGATTGCCTGTGTCAGGAAGTATTTATGCATGCAGTAGATGGTTGTTAAGACTATTAAGGTATGAGGAATAGTACATTATTTATTTATGGTGTGGTGGAACTAGTCTGTCTGTAACATACAGTATGCTTTGCTAGTTGGTGTAATAGGTCTGTTTATAGCACTGGAAAAGTTAAACCAGAAGCTCTGGAAATCAGACAGATCAGTAGGGTTCTTGTCCAAGCAGCCATCAAGCAACCTTTACTCACACAGGACTCTTGGATTGACTTTTATTAAATGGCTACAACCCAAGAGACCTCTGCGACCTACAAGGAAGGAAAGGAAGAAGATCACAATGCAGAATGTGGCAGGTCAAGAAGTTAAGATCATTGTGAACGTGATCCATGCATTTGAAGTTCCTGTGAGGAAGGATGTGGACGCAGTTGGAGGAGGACAGCAGGCCTTTCGATTCTCAATGGTTCCTGTGCGTCCATTTGTGGAGGTCTCATTTCAAGGAGTCAGTGTCAGGACAACAACTGCAGAAGGTGCCAACCCTACCTGGAATCAAGATTTACAGTTGTCTTTAAAGTAAGTTAGCATTTGTATATGTAACCTAATATGGTTCCAAATATAATTCTTATAGTGTGTTTGAAAACTTGTAAAATATAACTAGCGTACATATTAAAATTTCACATTTTAAAATTTGTAAATTATAGGTGTAAATGTTGAAAGCAGTTTTTCCATCATATCTATTGATGTTCCAAGTTACTGTTTTCTGTGGGTTGATATCCCATAGAATATTGGGATGTGGAAACTTTCCAACCTTCCTAACCCTTCAAGCCATCTTATTTTCTATTTTCTGATTTGTGTAATAATATCAGCTATTTTTAATATCTTTATGTGTGAAATTTACTTATCATCAAGCAGTTGGTATCCGACTACTTCTGTCAGAAAACACCTTGTTAATGCTTCTGTTCTACTTTCTGTATTTTTGTCAGCCTTCAACATTCTGATGTGTATAACAGAGCTTTGACCTGGACATTTTATTCTGCTTGAAGTGTTTCTGAGGGATTATAAAGATTGGGAAGGCAGGGAATTGTAAGATGGTTAGAGTCAGAAAGTCCAGTTTTGTTATTCTTGTGAATTATTAAATTATTTATGGCCAGAAATCACATAGAATTGTGATGAAAAAAAATAAATAAAAATAATTACAAATCACAGGTCTCCAAGTGGTGACTACTCCCCAGGCAGTCTTCAGTCAATTCAGGACAACTTGTATCTTCATCTGTTTGATGAGATTGTAGTTGACTTGTTGGAAGATGATCGAATGAGGGAGACCAACATCCATCAACGACTTGAACGCAACTGGCTGGGGAGCCTACAAATTCCATTCTCCACTCTCTACTTTAACTCAAGGGTAGGTAAATATAAATGTCATAATGTTGGACATTTGCAAGAAAGTTCATCACTCCACAATAGACATAAACAGACTTTCAAAATACACCAGAACTGTAGTTTGTGTCAGTGTTTGTTTCCTGGTTTTACCTATTTTCCTAGAACCCCGCTTGTTAACCACTTTTTTCCCCATTAAACACCCACAGAATGTCAGCCATGTAGGCAGATACAGACTGAGCAAACCTGGTTTTACATCTTTCCTCTTAACCGTTTTCCTAACTAATGGTCCTTCTTCATTGGACAGCACTGTGCTCGGCTGCTCAACCAATCATGGCCTTTACCTCCCAACCAAACTCCTACTGTGTGACCCATATAATAGCTTCCCTTCCCTTCACCACACACTCATTCTGTAAATGGAAACTGCAGTGTTTGCTGAAACACTGGAACAGCTTCAGCACTCAGTGCAGATAAACTATAGGTGTTATGCACCATGATGCCATTTTGTATTGGTATTAAGTTTCTGAGGTACAATAATCTGCATCTATATTCTCAACAAATCCCAGTACAGTGTCAGGGTTGTAAAGTTTATTATCTCATCTAATTTGAGACAGAATTATGGGGTTTGTTGTAAAATATTTATTATTTGGTTTTATAGTTATGTAGTTGGTTGCCGGTCACAGTGGCTGCGCGGTCTGAGGCGTGGGCCTTGTGCCGCCTGGACACTGGGATTGTGGATTTGAATCCCACTCAAGGCATGGATGTTTGTCCGCATCTTTCTGTGTTGTGCTGTCCTGTGTACAAATAGAGGCCTTGTGATGGGCTGATCACTAGTCTAAGGAGTCCTACCAAATGTTTAAATAGATCAAGCAACCTCCAAAAAAGAGAGGATAAAGCAGATCCTGCCAAAGCGGGACAAATGCTAAATAAAAAGAAGAAGTTATGTAGTTGGTTAGTTGATTGGTTAGTTAGTGAGACATATAATTAGTTATTTTATTTGGTAATTAATGTAGTTGGTTACTGAGTTTTGAATATAAATGCCTACATGTATTTAGTCTGTTACAGTCATGAGATTCTTTTGACAGTAGTGCATCCAATTATGTTACAGATTGAGGGAACATTTAAACTTTACTCTCCACCTGTCTTGCTGGGCTATGAAAAGGAGTCACATCATCGTGAGTTCAGTGGTCTCACCATTCTAGGAGACACTCAACAGGTCTTACCTCCAAGAGATGCAACATTCCTTAGCCTCTTCATCACAGTTCAGCCTGCTTTGAACCCTCCAGAGCCCTTCAAGGTTAAGTATTGATATTGTGATGTTGGGACACTATTGACTATTGCTATGGGCACTATGTCAACCCTGATTTATTTGTAATAAGCAAGAATCTAGAAGGTAAGCTTTCTGGAAGGTTCCCCTTTCAGTAGATTCTACTGCCCCCCAGGGAGGAGAATACAGCATCTGGAACATTCTGTGGTAGTCACACCTACAGTCCGCGCCCACTAGCCAGGGAGGGGAGTTAGGTGGCCCCTCTCCTCCAGCGCGAGACTTTGACTCTTACAGTGCCACGTTACAATACTAAAACAGTGTGAATAGGACAAGTACCATACTGTAGAGATAAAGCTGGACAGCTGGACTGTGCTTAAGATGTGATGCATGGTTGATAAATGTTTAGTTCTTTTAGTAATTTTATTGGCCATCCATTCTGTGAGATCCATTTAATCACCATGTACACCAAGTACCATGGTTGATTAGATTGATTACAGAAAGTTAATGAAGTCTCATTGTTGATTGAAATTAATGATCTGTATCCAGCATGTCCATCATTTGGCATTGGTGCATGTAGATATGTAATAGAAAATAAACTTTTCATTCATAAATAATTAAAGTAATCAAATTCAAAATTAATATATATTACACAAAAGCTTGATGCTAATTTTTTCATTCCAACCCTTTGGAGGTTAAAAACTTAATGTAAACAATGTTGTGAAAGGTAGCTGTGTTCTTATCTTGTGTTTTTTTGTCATTGTACAGATAGCTTCTTTTTGTATTAGTGGAATTGGGTGGGATCAAATGCAGAATACTTTGAATTTTGTGTTCAGTTCACTAGACCACATCACCAGTTCCAATTACAAAATGTAGTAAATATATTCCAGATAATGGATAACATCCAATATATTTATAGTATTATTAATTAGTCAGTGGCATAAACTTTTAATAGAGAACAGTTCTTAAACTCATCACTAGATGGAGGTTGAGTGATGAGCTTCATGCTGTGACAAACTTAACCTCCTAGGAAAAAATTTGTAGTCTCATTGAAGAGTAGATTAAATGGATTCCAGTACAAGGGCAGAGAAGAGGATAATTTTAGTGCCCTTGCTGGGAATCAAATCAAGCCTCTTGATTGTAGTAAGTTAGTGCACTGACTGAGTTGTCATGATGTGAATCAGGCATATCCTTTTTGTAAGTTATGTGAAGGCAATGCTTTTGTCAGGCATTTCAATTGAATTTTGATCTCTGGTAATCATTCTCGGGAAGGTTTATATTGAACCTTGATCTCTAGTAATTATCCTTGGGAAGTCTTATATTCAACCTCACTTGAAAATGAATTTGTGTTCTGGTAGGAAAAGTTAGAGAGCAGTGAGTTGGCATTCATGGAGGAACACCTGGAAAATTGGGAGTCACAGGTGGCTAAACAGGTTCCTCACAGAAAAGTGAAGACACTAGTCATTGACATCAGTGGGAAATCTGTCTGTGTCACCAGGTTTTTTCAGCCCCTTGCTCCTCCAGGTAAATAAACATGAGTTTGTATCTTGCCTTACTTAATGATGCATTCTCACCTAGTTAGTTTGCATGATGTTGAATGGCAGGATGACTGTGAATTATGAATGAAACGGATGTGAAAGGTATGTGTCATGGTTGGTTTTAAGGCACTAAACTATTGTTTGCGTATAGGATCTGAGGAAAACCACGATGAACAACACAGTCAGGATGTGTTGTCTCTGAGTTTATAGTTGAAACTTGTATGTACAAAGTATATGGCAGGACTACATACAAATTACATAATAAAGTTTAATGCATATTTTTCTTGTGAGGTGACAAAATTTTTAAACTTGACAACTATTGTTCTAGAACTCAACATACAGCTAATAAATACCTGAGTGTGATGTTATATGATAACCCTGCTATTGAATTGTGCATACCTGTCTATTATTCGTCTCCCAATTTAGGTATGGAAAGAATTATGAAAGAAATTAATTTTTTCATTTTCATGGGTCTGAGTACAAGCATTGTACCACTGGAAGCCACCTCATCTTGTATAATTCTTGCTAGTTTTACCATATAGTTTGAAACATTTCCATTAAAAGAATGCATCATAACTTCTTCCCAGAACTTGTATTGGAATTTTAAAACAAAATGGCATTTATGTGAAGTAACTGGTGAATTATTGTAATTTGACATAAAGTTTATATGGTGGTATATTAAAAACACATCCATTGCTAGTATTGATTGTGTTAAAATGTGTAATATCTAACTATTCAGAACCCTCAGATGTACCATACCAATGGCAAATTCTGTTAATGCTTGTGTTACATATTATGAGTTCAAGTCATTATTATGTATTCTTTGCTCAATGTGCATGACATGAATGCATGAAAGGTTGATCATATCTGTCTATCCATCTGTTTCTGTCTGCGTGATTCAACTTAAGAACTGCTGGATGGATTTGGATGAAATGTGGTATGGGGTTCGATCTCCAATGGGGGCAGAGGATTTTTCCTCTAGGCTGTGCATCCAGACTGGTTCTGGGGTTATGGTATGGATGTTATGCCATTGAGATACTCCCTGAAATAGTACTTTTCAGTTTCCTGCAATTGGTAATACAAACATGGTGGTAGAAAAACTTGTCAGATGGGATCGACGCTGTTACCACTTGCAATAGGTAAGGTTATAGGTTTTTGAAAAATACATAACTTTGGTACAGTAATTTTGTAAAATAATAACATGGTGGCCAAAGGGAAAAAAATTTGATTTGACCGTGATCCCAAGCATTTGAGTCCAATGTGCTACTGTGGAGCTAAGGGACCTTGTGATGTGTCCATATTGAGTTACAGTATAACATATGATTTGTATAGTTAGAAACTAAAGTAAGTAATGTAGTCTTTTATTAATAATTGTTCTTTGAAAATTATTTCAGCTAGGAGCCTTCAGAATTCAGAATTTGCAAAGAATGCTTATGTGTATTCCAGTATAGATTATACCTTTGAAATGTATTTTGCATTATTTCAGTCCTGCTAGAAGGAGAGTCTATAACAGAGGAAATGGCTGCCCGCTTTGTGTCAAAGATACCTAAGATAAGTGGCAGCATTCTGTTCCCGGGGCTGTTTGACATCTGGCTTACGAGTGATGTAAGTGAACTTACAATTGCAGTGTGTGCATGTCTGTCCATGTGCATGACGTCATATTTGTCATGCTTATTTCTGACAAACTCTGAGTTAAGTCAGTGTCATTTCAGGGTGACGACATTATCAGTCCAAGGGTTAAGTTGAAGTTTGTTAGGTTATGTTGGGTTGGGTTAATTTAGGTTGTGTTCGAGTGGTTTTGGTCTAGTCTCTTTGTGTGTGTATATGTATAAAAAATTGTTTGCAGTTTATGTTTTAGTGACTGTGTATTTTGTATGATGGATTATGGTTTCAGTAATGGCATTGGATGGCAGAATGTTCTCTTTAGTAAAAGCTGGTACCATTAGGCAGCTTTTAAAAGTACTTATAATATGAGTAATTAAAACATTTAAGGTCATTAAGACTATATATTATTTTTCTAGCAAATTCTGCATCTATTATCTGGAGACTCTGAGGATCATGCTGTGTTACTCTGCTGTTTCTTGATGTACCTTGGTAAGACAGCCTGGCTGCTGCTTGGTGTAGGGATTCCTCATGGACGAACTGCATATGTCCTCACAAGGGAAAAAGAGCAACACAACATCAGCTACTGGTTGTGGGACCCTGTCTCTGGCCAGAAGTACAGCATTCAGGACAGCTTTTGTCCACTGCAGAAAGTGTTTTGTCTTATTAATGATGAGAATGTGAGTGTTTGCTTTTCCTGTTTCTGATGCCAGAAAATTGTGTTGAATAAGCACTTACAAGCAGCTAACAAGGGAGGTTCCTCCACCTCAATATTGAGAGTTGGGTTAATAATTCCTCATTGCAAATTTTATTTGGAAAACTTATAGGGAAGAGGCCAATAGGATATAGGATAAGGCTCCACAAGGAATAGGATATGAAGGTGTGAAGTGGATTTAGCATGATCAAATTACAGTTCATTGGTGGTCCTTTATGAACCTGGTGATGAACCTTCAGGATCTATGAAAGCAGGAAATTTTTGAACAGCTGATTGACATCTGCCAACTACTCAAGACTGCTCATCTGCTCAACTTAACTGCTGAAGACAGCGCCATGGTGTTAGTTTATACATAATTTATAACCAACTTTGCTGTCAGTCAGTCAGTCAATTCATTCATAAATTAGTGAATGGAAGTTTTTATGTTTATGGTGGATACAGGATTAACCATTTGCATGATCTGTACTTTGTTCACAGTAAGCATCAAATTTATGTACTAACTTGAGATTTTTTTACGAATTGAATAAATAGATCTGGGTTAATGTACAACAAGAGGAACTACCATGGCGTACAAGATTTGACATAACTCATCGGTCTGATTGGTGGCCTGCTTTTGGACGCAGTGTAGGAGCTCCTGTGGGTAGTGTCCAGCCTGCAGCACTAGTGTATGTTGCCACATCAATCTCTGCCACACAGATGTTGCAGGACCGAATTGAGAAACAGCTGAAGGACTGCCTGATGAAGTGGAGGAAGACAGCTAGGTCACATTGTTAAGCCACTTTTCTTATTTATAAACTATTTCATTGCTTAGGTAGATGTTGGTTTCTCACAGTCAAGACAGGGATTCAGGCCAGATAATGTAGGTTTGGTGGTGGAAAAATTGGCACTGTGTCCAATTTTCTGTTACTGGCCTTAAAGTGTGTGCACTTTTATGTGTTTTACAGACTTACTAAAATGAGGTCATGTTTGTCTCCCCCACATATTTAATTTTTGAAACCACATACTGGTTTCAATGAAATTTGGTATTATGGACTGACACTAAAAATTGTAATAAATTAATCATTCCAGACAATGAATCATTTTCTATAAGTGCTTTGTCCATTTCCTTTAAAGTACTAGTGTGTGGCGCTGCCCGCCAAGCATTTCTGCATATTTAAATTTTATTGAGATTTCAGTGCATTAGAAGAGTTGGAGCCCTTTTAATTTTACTGTGCTGTTTATGTTAGCAGAAGCAAAGGATTAAATCCTTAAGTATTTGTGTTTAATATTATGACTGTGGCAATTTATTTGAAACTGAATAATGTTATGAGCATGTTTTAATGTCTGTGTGAAATCTGTTTCAGGACTCTGTGTAACCGGTACTGCATTGCCATCCTGCGCAAATTGCTGCCAGCATTAGAGCACAACACATGGAACTGCCAGAACCTCTCCAGCCCTGACCACATTCAGGAGTTACAGCACATACTGGGCTCCCACAAGGTGGGTGACATTCATCCATCCAGCCAATAAATTAACCACGAAACAAATTAACTAAGGAACCAGAAAATTACTTAGGTGCCAAACCTTTCTGTGTGGTGATATTTAAATCCCAAGCCCTTACCCGCTGCATTAGGAGTTTCTACTGGTGGTTTAAATTTAGGCATGCAGTGTTGTTGGCTTTAAGAACAATCATACCTCAGATATTTTTCATTCATTTCCCTCTGCTTGTTGTGAAAGAAATGCTATTGCATTTTCTATTACTTCTGAGTTTTTAGAAAGTATATTTCAGATGCCTGTGTGTGTCCACTTTACTAGTGCACACCACTTGTAATTAATAAATTTCCATGATCATTCACCTAATGAAAAATTGATAGATCTGATTGATATACAGGGTGAGACAGAAGTAACTGTAACCTATCTGTGATATTTATTTTGTAGCATAGTGATATGAATTATGAAGAAATCCAGGTCTGTTTTGCTATGCATCTCATTCCAGATGTGTGGTTTCCCAATCAATCTGCCCTACACCAACATGGAAGCAATTACAGAAGCCATGAAGGCTACGGGTGTTCATTACAATGAGAGTCCTGATGTAGAGTTTGCACTAGCTGTTTATATTCATCCATTTCCTAACAATGTGCTTTCTGTGTGGGTATATGTTGCATCTCTCATCAAGCGGAGATGATATGTCATCATTTTCATCATCATTTCAAGTGAGTAAACTCTTTTCAATAGTAATATACTGCCCACAGACCAGGAGAAAAGCCCTGCGGGGGGAAGTCGTTTCTGGGGCGGTGCAGGGGGAATGTTCACTATCAAGTGGACTAGAGGGCTGCTATTGGTGGGAAGTGTGATACGTCAGAGTTTTACGCTACTACACACAAACTGAAAACATCAAGCAGTTAAGAGTAGCATGTAGTGGGTGCACCTCTAATGTGTTCTGTGGGTATTGCAATAATATTCTAGATTAAATCACTGTGCCTCTGTGAGGTAATCTTAAAACTTAACCCATTAGAACACATGAAAGATTGTTGTCTGTTGTTTGTTCAGTGGTTGTGGAACGAATGCGTTTAGGATGGGTCGTCACTCACAGCGAAATCTTGCGCATGCGCGTATGTTGAATTCTTAGCAGGGCTTTCCTCCTGGTCTGTGGACTGTACTAATCCCCTGATCTAGTTTCCCAGAATCCAAGCATTACAACCAAGAGGACTATGATTGACATTTTCACCATGTAAAAACCTCAACTCGTAGACTTTCATGATTTCCTTATATGACTATCTCAAATGCATGGATTATATCATCTCAAATGAGAGGAAGGTTGTGAATGATGAGTAATGAAGGCTGTGGAAGAAATGGTCATGGCTTATATTAAGGTATTGCTCCAGCATTTGTACGGAGCAATTGAGAAAAACCACAGAAGACCTCATTTGACCTCCAGGTTTCAATTTAAAACAGTGTTTTGACACTATATAGTCTGAGCTACTGAGAAAGCGTTGTTTAAATAAACTATAAATCAAAATAAATAAAACAATGACAGAGTTTTGGTGTAGTGCAGTATTAAAAAAATAGTATTTAATTGTTTTATAATAACAAAATATTCATATGCTTCATTTATAATCACAATGTGCCAAGTATCAAGCTTTAACCACATATTACCACAGTAAAATATGAACCATCTTTAACAAGAAGGATTTTGTTCTTTAACATGTTCTTACTCATAGAAACTCTTGTTCAACATGGATACTTACAAATAAATATAAAAGAAATGTAGTAATGCAAAAAAAGCCATTTTTTGGTACATTGGTATTTATGATTGGCATGTGCATACAATACTGTTTTTACAATATATGTTAAAATCAGTACTGTTCTGTGTCTGAGAACATACTTGGGCCGACACAGTTTGGACAGTGTTCACTATACAATCTTCTGGGTATTGCACCATGTCAAATGATAAAATTGACCTTCCTTCTCCACAATTGAAATGATAGACAAGTTGCATCAGATAGTTCATAGAGGAATATAACAGTTACGATTTGTGACTGGTCAGAAGTGTAAACATAATTTTATGGCATGTGATGAGTGATAACCTAGAACACCCTGGGTCAGGTGGTAGGTAGGATGGGTGATTGAAATATAAGTCACTCTGTTATGACTTAGTGTAATTCATGACCACTGGCTGTATCATTGATCAGTCACAATTTAAAATATTAACTGTATTTTTGAACAAATGATGATTATCTCTTATGTTTGTGTATAAATCTTCCACACAATATTTTTCTGTTGTTTTGACCCTGAAGAAGGAAGTAATAAGTTCCTCCAAGGTTGTTTTATAGTTAGGTAAATGAGATATGCAGAGCTTAAAAGTTGAATTAGAGATGTGCATCCAGAATATAACATTTATTGATTAAGTTAACTGCAAAAGCCTATGTTTGGTAAAATTTATTTTTAATACATTGATATTTGGCTCAAGTGTCAACAATTATATACATATTAACAGAGTATATGGCATTACAAAGTGTATGGATATTTAACATTTGTACATTTTAATCCTGCAGCCATAATTATTCTTTTATTTATTTATTTTTACGTGTTAATACTTTAAAACAAGAGTGTAAACTGTGGGGCGGGATATGGTACAACATTTTACCCATATCTATAATACTTTGTATTGGTACAATAGGAGGATGTGCTGTGATTCAGTTATTTTGTACTTACAAAATAAATACACATATCTTTTAAACCATATGTATTAAACAAAAAACTGCGCAGAATGATCGCCTCTTCTATGCAGTGCTGCTTATCATGATTTGTTTACAGTAGCATCAAAAATGTGTTACTGGTACTTCCAAAGTTACCATTCATACAGATTAAAATTTCATATTGTTGTTTACTCATTTTGGGCTGTACCAGTCATGTTTGTTCTGTAAGATGGTAGTGAAAGTCTGTTATAGTATACTTAATTAGGCAGAAGTTCTAAATTTGATGTAATAAGAATTGATTCCATTTTTTAGATTATCAGAGCCTTGCTAATTGTGAGTACCAGCTTTTCATATTGTTACACGATTTACACATGGTCAGTCAAGTAAGTAAACCAATTTTTCTGTGCTGTCGCAGTGAAGTGAATACAAATGTTGCTTTTGTAAAGCTCACACATTACAATTGCATAGAACCACATCTGCTGTACATTGTAATTCTGTAGGCATAAGAGCAGTCTCTGAAAGACCACATATGGGAGTCTTCACTCTTTCACGGAAAGGTTTCTTTCTGAAGAGTTTACCTTCCTTAGTTGTTTAATAGAAATATAGTTCTAGCTGCTTAACACAGTATTTTGTTTTAAATTAATACTTTTTGTTGGTGAAGACTGAAGGGAATTTATCTTTTAAATCTAATTATTTTGCTTCTTATTGTCTTCTCTTTAGATTTTCATCTCTGCTGCTCATATATGCCTTAATTCATGTCTGAGTTTGTGATCTGTACATTAATGTGGGCATATAATAACTTTTACAGAGGCATACTGCCCCATATTAGGCATTTTGAAAGTATGTCCCTCACAAACTGGGAAACTTTTTTTGCATATCTATGTTTTTGGGTTAGTTACCTTATAGCATAACATCCAGACGAATTTTCATTTGCTGCTGTCATAATTATTTGGTTATGAAATTTGTACCGACAGACATCAGCTCTGATTGAGTTGAGATAGGTTAGGTTAGATTAGGTTACTGATGCGTTTGCGCATAAGATCTTGCGCCAAAGGCATGGGTATCGACATCATCGTCTCACCTCATGACTTCAAAGTTCTGTCAGAGTGTTATTACGTGGAATAAAGAGTTAGAAAAGCTGAGCCTGGAAAACTACTTATGGTATAACTTTGGTACAAAATTTCACAAAGCAAGAACAGAAGACAGAGAGACAATGCAATAAAGAGAGGTACAAACAAACAGAGGAAGAGAAAGACAAAGAGCATATGTAGTAAGGAAGGATTTACTGGTCTGAGATAGTATCATGATGCAGTGGACTTAAATGACAAACATCTACATAATGTAAGAGTTTTTAATTTTACCATGTCTTAATATCTTAATTCATTGTAAGAATTCCATTCTTTGTCTGATACTTCCAAAGCTCAGTGTGTGCAAAACAGCCTTCTCTTTGCCATTTGAACAATGTGATACATATTTATATGTGATGTGTTTTAACTGTAAGATATTAAGATGTCATTGTCCACTGTCTGTACAGAAAGACATAACATTTTGAAGGCTCAGTTTGCCTTAAGGTTAACCTTTTGCAATGTCTTCTGCAAGGTGTAAAGCACAAAATTGTAGCACATAAGGACATGTAACTCTTTATGTCTTTAATTGTATTAATTTCTCATTTGACTGTATTAGAACACCATATCAACTGCTGGGATTACTTATCATTAAAAATGATCTGGTAGGGTGATTATTAGGGATGTGAGAGGAAGAGACAGTGATTTTCTTTAAAGAACTATTGTGGAATTCACTTGGCAGGATCAAGCGAAAACCCTCAAGATAGCCAGTCTCATGGCTCATATTTCAACCTTCAACCTTTACAATACAAAAGAAGGGTGACAAGTTTCTCACAGTGGTAAATATGTCAGTCATTGTTGTCTGAGTGGTGATATTCTGTGGTCTTGTAGGTGGTAACCAACATTTTGGCAAAAGGTATTGTCTCCATCTTCATTTTCCTTTGAAACATTATGTAGTCACCTACAGAACCACATTATGTCACAGTCCAGTCACACTACAATCAGCAAGAGTTCTGACCAGTACAACCCAGTGTTGGGTTCCTCAGTTTTTGTTTGGATATTCTGCATTTGGTGATATAGGAGGTTTATTTTAATGACAGAAGCAGCAGTAGTAGTAGTAAGTAGTAGTATACATCATCATCTATGAAGTTGGGTGTTTGGATCATGCTAATATTTTATGAACTCCAAAATGCAGAATGATAACATTGGCAGGTCATTAAAATTGTGAGAATGTAAATGGGTTAATTTATGGTAGCCATTTTGTAACATCAGAGAGAGATGGAGTTATCCTCAAAAAGTCTATATCTTTGTTATCAAAACAATTAACAATGCCAAAAGGAAATATTCTGGTATTAAATGGCTCCATTTAATTGTGCCTAAAACAAAATTTATTTCCAGTAATCTATATAATGGATGTACATTAATTACATGTAGGAGAATGCATCCATGAAGTTAATGCTTATCATACAAGACACATTACAAGAACCGACATATACATTTAGAAGCCTGCTGCATTATTGCTTACACAGAAATACTCTTAATACTGTACAGCATGTTATTATATACTCTATACAGGATCCTAGCATTCATTGGCATTGCAGCTGATGCTTCAAACTGCCACATACAATACAGGCCTTGCCACACTTTATTGCTTAAAGCTGTATGACCTTGGAGAGGATTCCTAAATCTATTTTTTGTGTTCTTTTCTTAGTTTATATATTATAAACAATCTATATTGCATGATAGTAGCCCAGTATTTATTAGTAACAATGGCTTGTGTATAAAATTAACAATGCTATGGCCTTTCCATTTATGGAGGAGAAGAGATGGATTAATCCACATAATCTTCCACTGGTATCCTAGAACAATAAATTTGTCTCAGCCATGGTCTCTATCAATTCCTTTTAAAAGAGCAATCATGTTTTCCAGACCAAAGAGGAATCCACGATCAGGACCTGAGTAGAGCACAGGATCACCCAAACCTTTGTGGGTCGAATGGGCAAAATCAATTATCCTAACATCAACGAGTGGCTCTGGAGTCAGTAATGGAGATGAAGGTACAGAGGTTGCTTCAAATGAAGATGGTGAATTCACTTTGATGTCTTCACAAGTGGCAGTGCTGCTACTACGACGATGGTATGTTCCTGTGGGTGATTTGTGTGAGTTCTCTGGAGCTGATAGAAAGCAGTCGAATGACTGATCAAGCATAGCTGATAGAGTTTCTGCACTCGAACTTCGCCTGCTAAGCCGTCCTCCCATACAGTCATTTCTCATTAAGCCTTCATCATGATCGTGAGTTGAGAGAGATACTTGGCTGTCCTGCTGTAAACTTTTTACTCGTGCCTTGTCAAAGTCATAAACTGTACCTAAGAAACAACAAAATGTTTGTGAAAGTACAAATATGTGGGTAAATAAAATAAAAACGCTATGCTGTAATAACTGACTACATAGAACAGGGTGTCCTTTGGGCATTTTATAGTTATCAGGCTGATCAAGAAGATCCCTACTGTAGAACCCAAGGGTTTGTAATCATCCTCACAAAAGCTCACCTTTTGATCCTATTCTGTTATAATTAATTTCATATGTTCACAACCTTTTTCTTTAATATCTGTTTTAATATTATCTTCACATCTAGTCGTCTACTCTTAGGACTCTCTTCAGGTTGTGCAGAAAAATATATATGTTCCTCTCATCCCCACTCTCCCAAATTTTCAAAAGATTTATGAGCAATTTTTATATTATTACAGGTTTCTTCTAATATTAATTATTATAGGACAAGATATTTACTTAATTTACTTTACATTTACTTCTAGATAAGCATCATTACTGTCATTCTGGAGAATTTGAGGCCTTAGAAAAAACAATAAAAACCATAATATAAGTTGTTATTAATAATATGCAGTATCTTATACCCCATCATCCTTGCATTATCACTTACTTGAGGTGCCACTGTGAAAGTCATCCCCCTCATAAAGAAGAAGCAATGAAGTGGTGTAGAAACGTACAGCATCCTGTTGTCCCAGAACATACACAAGCTCCTCTAGACGTCGTATGAGTGGAGGCAGGACGTCTGATCTGAGCTTGATCCCGTTGTGTAAGAACTGACGCAAAGCCTGTTGGAACCCTGCCACCGACAAGCTGCGCCCATAGAATTTATTGCGACATAGGAAACGCTGTGAGGTAACTTGATACACCTATTAAGACAAGGGAAAAATTTGTCTTGGGCTGTTTAATGTGTGTTCTAGGTTTATTTAAGAGTAGTTTCTCTAATTATGTAGTGTCAAATGGGAGTTTAGTAGTGGGTTTAAAGGTGCTTCAACAATATGGCTACTTGCACCAATGTTGTGAATAATAAATTGGGAATGAAAGGAAGGAAGCACTTATGGCCTATAAGGTAGTCTAGCACTTGCCTGGAGGGAGTGAGAAAAACCACAGTATACCTCTTGAGGTTAGCAGGCCTCCAGGTAGAGAATCAAATGTGGGATTTTCCAGACATGAAGCAAGAGTGCTTACCACTTATCCATTTACATCATTTTGTAATTCAGTGGCATCTTAATTAATTAAACTGTGAGTGATGATTTAGGAAGGATGTGCAAGAAAATGGTCATGGCCTTTTTAAGGTTCTACCCAGTATCTGACTGAAGGGACTGAGTAAAACCAGAAATCACACATAAAACACACTGCATTAACATTTTTCAAGACAAGATTCAATTATGGAACACTTCAGTTGAGTGATTAGCACTCCTACTTCACATATAAGAAGTCCTTGGTTTGATTCTTCACCTAGAAGCTGGCTATTCTGAGGTTTCTTTTGTTATCCTCAGGCAAATCCTGGAATAGTACCTCAGAATAGTTTATTGCTTCTCTCCCACATCCGTTCATAATATATATAGGCTAATGTGCTAATGTATGCACTTGAGAAATAGATTACGCAGAGTGAAGAGGAACACATTCTAAAACAATTCAGATCACTGAAGGTATGTGTAAAGAAACCCAGACATTTTAATATTTCCTGTAATAATGACTTATTTTCACCAGTTATAAAATTGTATGTACTAAACCGCAGAAGCACCAGTTTACTGTGATAAACCACTTAACACTGAAAGTAGCTTGTGAGGTCAGTTGTCAATGACTGATTTGTTCACATTCCCGTGTTCAATTCAGAAAATTTTAAAACCTGCATTCCTCCAATGCGGACACCCAGTTTTCCAGATGTGGTGCTCACAACTTTGAACATCTTGCTCTGCTTCTTGGTGAGACTCGCTGCATCACCATACTGTCGAGTTCCCATTTTCAGATCAAGAATGCACGGAAATGTAAATTTACATGTGAGGTTTTCTAGCAGAATAAAATCTGTATCAAAAGTTAAGGTAT